GAAAGAGCTCTCTCAGCCCCACCTACCTCACAGGGTGTCTGTTGTGGGGAGGGGAAGGGAAGGGAAAGGAGTTCGTAAGCCGCTCTGAGACTCCGAGTGAAGGGCGGGGAATAAATCCAATCTCCTCCTCCTCCTCAATGTATATTATTTTGGGGGATCTGAGATATTCTCCCCTTAATATAGATATTCAGGGCAGGTTACAAAACATTTACAATAAGAGAAATAGGAGACTCCCTCATGGGTTATTTATACCCCAGGTTCAATGCTGCTGGTTTCCCCGGCTTCCCCACAGTATGGTCTTCTGACCAATGGAAGGAACTAAAGACTTACTTTTTAAAAAAACTGGAAATCCACAGAACCTGTTTCACTTATCGTGATCACTGTGCCCAGGCCATGCTCTTTGCTTTTGCCCCAAGCTCACTGTTTCAGTACGTAATCACTCTTAACTCCTTTCTCACTGTCTTTGTGTGGGCGTGCAGTCAAAAGGGAGCAGGCCATGACTAAAGACGGCTTCCTGATGTATTTGCTGTCCGATGACGGGAACGTCTTCGATAAGGCACACCGTCAAGTGTACCAGGACATGACCCGACCCCTCAGTCACTACTTTGTGTCGTCTTCGCACAACACCTACCTCATGGAAGATCAGCTGACGGGGCCCAGCAGCACGGAAGCCTACATCAGGTATGAGATGGCGCCTTGGTTCCTCACGAGGGCAAAAAAAAATAAAATAACTTTACTTCTCTCTTTCTTGTACCATTGCCAAAAAACAAAACAGAAGAGAGGTCTATCTGGGGCAGTGATGCTCTGTCTTCTTGGTGCTTGGGGGGGGGGCAACAGTGGGAGGGCTTCTAATGTCCTGGCCCACTGGTGGACCTCCTGATGGCACTGGTATTTTTGGCCACTGTGTGACACAGAGTGTTGGACTGGATGGGCCATTTGGCCTGATCCAACATGGCTTCTCTTATGTTCTTATGGATAAACATATGGAGCAGGGATACAAAAAGCACAGATAGCCACAAAACATAGATGGAACACTCTGTCTGGGGTAGTGATGCTCTGTATTCTTGGTGCTTAAGGGGACATCAGTGGGAGGGCTTCTGGAGTTCTGGCCCCACTGGTGGACCTCCTGGTGGCACCTGGGTTTTGGCCACTGTGTGATACACAGTGTTTTTTTTTTAAAGTATCTTTATTACCTTTTCTAAAATAAATCTTAACAATCAGCTATTTCTTCGCTTCATAACAGATGAGCATACAGCCTCTTTCCTTTTCAAACACAAAATAAATCCAACATTCAGCTATTTTCCGCTACAAACAAATAGGCATACAGCCTCTTTCCTTTTCAAACACAGTAAACAAAAACAATTCTAACCCTTCATATTTCGTGTCCAATTATACAGTTTTTCCCAATTTTTTTTCAAAAGTCAAATCATCTTTCCCCTTTAATGTACATGATAATTTATCCATTTCGGCCACTTCACATATCTTCTGTGTGATACACAGTGTTGGACTGGATGGGCAACTGGCCTGATCCAACATGGCTTCTCTCATGTTCTTATGGATAAACATATGGAGCAGGGGGTCCAGCAGTGGCTCTTAGCCACAAGGCATAGATGGAACATGCTGTCTGGGGCAAGTGATGCTCTGTATTCTTGATGCTTGAGGGGACATCAGTGGGAGGGCTTTTGGAGTTCTGGCCCCACTGACGGACCTCCTGAGGGCACCTGGTATTTTTGGCCACTGTGTGACACAGAGTGTTAGACTGGGTGGGCCACTGGCGTAGGGTTAACATATTTTCAAAAGGAAAAAGGAGGACATATTTTCCAACTGACTGCTTCAAACAAGGGATCCCTATGACAAATATCATTTTAAATACCCCCACTATTCAAACTATGATGATTGCTACTAACTAGGAATATTCCTAACTTTCCAACCCAAAAAGTCTGTGTGTGTGTGTGTGTGTGTGTGTGTGTGTGTGTGAGAGAGAGAGAGAGAGAGAGAGAGAGAGAGCGCGTGCCAGGAGAGGGACAGGGGCTTTAGGATAGACCTGAGTGCCCCTTATAGCAGGGGTGTCGAACT